AGGAATAGGGCGGGAATCCTCAAATTTGGTATGGGGTCTCTGTTAGTGTCTGAAATTTAGATATGGAGGTGCTTTCCAAAATTGTACTATCTTTGGTGTCGGGTGAAAGGATAGAGACACAATTCTGACATTTGATATTTAGATTACTAATGGTATCTAGGTTTGACATTTGGCAGTGGTTTGGAAATGCGTCCCATATTTGTACCAAAAGTACCAAATTGTACTAATTTTGGTATTGGGTAAAGGGATAGAGCTGGAATCCTCTAATTTGATATTTAGGTATCTATCTTAGGATAGAGCTGAAATCCTTACATTTGAAATAGATGTCACTGTTAGTGACTGTGGTTAAGATATGGAGTAGATGAAGGAAATATGTATGCTAAGGTGGGTATTAGTTGAAGGAATCCTGAAATTTGATATTGAAGTGTATGTTAGTATCGGGAATTGAGATACTGATGTGGTTTGCAAATGCGTACTATATTTGGTATTGGGTATAGTATAGAGCAGAAATCCTGATATGGAGTTGGTTTTGGAAATGTGTACTATAATTGTTTGAATAGTACCAAGTGGTACTAATTTTGGATATGCGTACCAAATGTTACAAAATTCGGTATTGAATTAGGAAAAAGAGCTGGAATTCTTAAATTTGATATTGAGGCTACGGTAGTTTTTGAACAGAAAAATTCCACGGTTTTACTAATATCCTCTCAAGCGAAGAAAGATTTTGAAGACTTTTTGGTGTAAAAGCCAATTTTTTATTTTTTTCTTTATTTTATGCCAAAAGCAGCTTCTAAATATCCTTAGTTGATTAGGGGCCTCCCTACGAAATTGTATACCTAAAGTTTCAAAATTCCCTGAATAATCGAATTCCTTTGCGAAGCAAGGACTTCTTTAACAATGCGGTTTCATAAGTCCACTGAATATAAGGTCCTTACTAGCGTATTTCATCCAAAAATTTTAACTTGATACAAAACTACATATCAATTAGATTTCCTCCCCATTTTAAGAGACATCTTCCAAATTGTCCACTTAACCAACAAATCAAGCTTTAAAACACCACAAAGTTAAATTAAAGTTTCCAACCAGTTCTACGATACAGACGACTTCAAATAGCTTATAAATCATATTTCCCCGAATCTCAACATGTGTTCGTTCGTTCCAATGTCAAGCTGAAAAAGTCAAAGCACATACGCACCATGCTAAGAGTTGTAGATTTATTATTGGCACACATATGAATGAATGAGCGAGCAATTCGCTTTGAAGAAATGAAAACTCGTGCAGTTACAGTCTTAAGCTTCTTCTTCTGCTGACAAATCTTTTGAAAAACCAATCTAGAAGATGTGCAAAGAATGTTGTACTAGTCTGCACATGTATGAATTTTTCAAAAGGTAGAAGACCATACTTTCAATCGTATACAAACATATGTGTGTATGTATGCGCATTGCCAGTTTGAAGCAACTAACATTGACATAGTTATGTACACGCTTACTTTCTAATTGTTAATTTACGTGGAGATATGGTACACAGCGGAACAATTAAATAGGGACTTTTAGAGATAAAATATGTTTTATATGCTTCCACAGCTAGACGAGCTTTCCCACTTACCATTTACAGGTATTCCTTGGACAGAGAACCTTTTACTGGTCTTTTATATATAGAAGACCTTCCGCATGCAATTTTCGGTGAGGGTCACTCTTGGTCCAAAGGGGTCAGATAAGCCTGAGTAATTGAAAATTACGAAAAGTACTAAAACGTACTACATTTGGTAACATTTCGCATCATGTGAGATCAAGGATGAGGAGTAAAGTCGATGTAAGGAGGTAACTTTGGAAGTGTGTACTCATGTATACAAAACGGTACATGGTACTAAATTTACTACAATTTGAAATTAGAAGAACGGGTGGAGCTGGAATCCTGAAACTTGAAATAAATATTACTGGCGGAGTGTAGGATTGGGATATGGAGAAAGTTTTCGAAGTTATTACTCTTGTGCTCGAAAAGTACTAAATGGTACTAAATTTGGTACAATTTAAATTGAAGGTGAACCGATAGAGTTGGAATCTTGAAATTTGAAAATATGATTTCTATTGGACTGTATGATGTAGGTTAGGTTATGACAATTTGTACTTAGGTGTACTAAATGGTACTAAACTTGGTACACTTTGGATTTGGGTGAACCAATAGAGCCGGCGTGTAGGATGTTGGTAGTTTTGGAAAAATCTACTTATAAATAAAGTACAATTTGTGTTTGGGGGAACGTAACTGGTGGAATCCTAAAATTTGGAATTATTGTTACTTTGGGATCGTAAGATTGGTGTACGTAGGAAACTTTGGAAATTCATACTTATGCGTACCAATTGGTACTAAATTTGGTAAAAATTAGAATTGTGATGAACCGATGGAGCTGGAATTCTGAAAGTAGGAATGAGAGTTACTGATGGAGTGAAGGATAGATGTACCAAAGGGTTATTGGAAATTCGAACTTTAAATTTAAGAAATGATCTGAAATGTTACTAAACTTCCAGTTTGGTACCATTTGGTATTCATTAAACGGATAGAGCTAAAATTTGAAATTTAGTATGAGAATTAAGGTTGGAAACTAAGTTTGATATATGGTTTGGAAATGTGTACTATGTGTGCAAACTGTACTATGTGGTACTAACTTTGCAACAGCTTTGTTTTGGGTTGAACGGATGAAGTTGGAATTTTGAAATTTTCTATTGGCGTCCCTGTTGATGGTAGATTTGTGATAAAGAGTTGGTTTTATAAATGTGTGCGACAAGGACACGAAAAGTACTAAATAGTACTTTTTTTGTACGAATTTGGGTGCACAGATAGTGCTTGAAATATGGTAATATGGTCGCTGTTCATGTGTAGACTTGTCATATGGAGGTGGTCTCGGAAAAGCATACTGTAATTGTATGAAAAGTACCAAATGGTACAAAATGTGGTCCTGATTAAATTGAAAGAGATAAAATTCTGAAATTTGTCATTTAGTTTACTTATGATAACTGTCTTTGAGATTTAGCGGTGGTGTAGAAATGCGTCCCATATTTTTGTACGAAAAGTACTCAAGTACTTAATTTAGTATTGAGAGAAGAAATAGAGCCTGAAATTTGAATTAGATGTCACTGTTGGTGTATTTGGTTAAGAAAGAGTGATGGTTTTGGAAATGTGTACTACGATTGTTCGAAAAGTACTAAGTGGTACTAAATTGGGTATTGGGTGAAGGAATTGAGCTGGAATCCCGACATTTTGATAATGAAGTCTCTGTTGATATTTGGAATTGAGATAAGGAGGTGGTTTTTGAAATGTGTACAATAATTGTACGAAGAGTGATATATGGTACTATAGTTGGTAATGGGAGAAAGGACAGGGCTGGATCGTCAAATTTTATAGTTAGGTCTCTGTTGGTGTTTGTAATTGAGATATGGAGGTGGGTATCGTATATAGGTACTATTATTATACGAAAAGTACTAAATTGTACAAAAAAGTTATATTTTTTGGGTATCGTGTACGGGTACTATTATTGTACGAAAAGTACTAAATTGTACATAAAAGTTATAATTTTATATAACTGAAATCGAATTTGTGATATTTGGGTCGCTGTGCATGTGTAACCTGGGCATATGGAGGTGGTTTTGTAAATGTGTACTATAATTGTACGAAAAGTAGTAAATTTTACCATATTTGGTATTGGGTGAATGGATAGATACAATTCTGAAATTTGATGTTTAGATTACTGGTGGTATCTGGGTTTGAGATTTGACGATGGTTTGGAAATGTGTCCTATACTTTTACGAAAAGTACTAAATTGTAGTTAATTATTGGATAAAGGGAGAGAGCTGTAATCCTCAAATTTGATATTTAGGTCTGGAATTGAGACGTGGATGTGGTTTTGGAAATGTGTACTAAAATTGTACGAAAAGTACTAAATAGTATTTAAATTTATTATTAATTTGAAATAGATGTCACTGTTGGCATCTGTGGTTAAAATATGGAGAAGATTTTGGAAATGTGTACTATAATTGTTCGAAAAGTACTAAGTGGTACTAAAGTGGGTATTGAGTGAAGTGATAGTGCCGAAAAATTGATATTGGGGTCACTGTTGTTTTATAAGATTTACATATAGAGGGGTTGAAATAGTTTGGACAGAAAAATTGGATGTGGTTGAACTTTAAAATGGAAGATTTTGAAGACTTTTGGTGTAAAAGGTTTATATTTTCCTATCATTCTTTCCGAAAAAGGAAAAACTTTAATAATATATGACAGCCTGAAAATCTGAAAATTTAGTACGATATATGAAGTTTTGATTAAAAAATGATGTCAAACTGAACTCTTAATACCTACCACCATTTGGAAGAAACTTGAAAATATTAAAGAAATCCGTTGCAAAATACCGCTTAAAAAAACCATTATATGGGCGCTATACGAACACGTGGACCTGCATAGTACTGCCATAGGCTGTAGTACCGATTCCGAACTTCAAATACGAAATTTGAAACAATTTCGGTAAATATTGTCACTATTATCATCGAAATGCCGAATAAAGGGAGGTATGTGGGAAACGTGTACGACATGGTCCATTTACAAGCAAAATTGTAGCCTTCTATCGCAATTCGATCGAAATATAGCAAGTATGAATTTTGTCAGTAGGCAGGTTAAGATCGTAAATGGGCCATGTCGGTCCATGTTTTCCTTTAGTCCCCATATAACGGTATTTATTCGATATTAGCGTCATTTTCCACCGGAAATGTTTCAGATTTTGTTTAGAAGTTCGAAATCGAAAAGATTACTTATGCAGGTCCAAGTCTTCGTATAGCTCTCATGTTAAATTTTGTAACTCCGTCTAAATTGTGGGCATAAAATTTTCTGCTCGACCAAACTTGAAACCCTTTTTACTTGTTTCTATTTATGTACCTATCTAAATTACCCCGCAGTGTAAATCTCACATGTATAACTTTGTATATGTCTCCGTTTTTCTGCTGTCTATTTCACAGAATATGCTAAACAGACGAGCTTTCTCTGAAGTGCTGTATGACGTGCCAAGAACATCGAAACTCAAGGAGGACGCTAGACAAATTGAATTCGTTCGCATAGGCCAAGCACTTAAATTGGAGGCCATTGTACGTGGTGATGCCCCCACAAGCATTGCCTCGGCAAGTCCTTGTACGATATTCAAGAAGCCACCTTGGGAGCCGCATTGTTTCTATCCGACATTTCCACACCGGGGTACATTGGCAGGCGATTCGTTCGGTAATGCTGATGACTCGTTATTTATAGCAACGGATGATGGAACATTTTTGATGAAAGGTAAGTAAATACAGACTAGTGTGAGTGTCGGCAGTCGACCGCAAAGGGTAATGACGATTGCAAAAAAAAACAAAAACAACAACAACAAACAAATTAATGAGACACACACACAATCACACAGACAGAAGAGGAAAACTACTTGCGGATAAAAGTAATTCATTTAATTTAATTTGCTTCGATTTGTTTTCTTGTATCTTATTCCACCTTATCACCTGGCAGAGGATCAATCACTGCAGTTGGTCTTCGACAAGACATTACATGTGCGCCAATTAAATGTCCTGGAGGAACATGGCCTGGTATTGGTGCGTGGCGGTTCAGCAACAAATCGTGATGGTCATCGTATACATGTATTCCGTTTAAGAGAATTCCATTTGAAATCTTCCGAGGAAACGTTAAAGTGTCGCTCGCGTTCGGAGGTGAAGGAGCGACGTATCGACCGGACACGTGGTTGTCATTTGTTTTCCTCATCGCGTGTCAATGGTGGTCATTTGCGTTTAGTCGTTGCCGTCGGACGTAAGTTACAGCTGTTCCAGTGGAAACATACAGCGGCATGGGCCTCCTGGTGCCCGGAAAATGACACAGAGACGGCGGAGGGTTTTATTTTCCAAAAGGAGATCTCATTGAATGATACACCCACAATAGTGACGCCGCTGGAGGGGCCAACCAACACGAAGACGGGTGGTTTAATTTGTGTGGGATACAAGTAAGTGATTGGAATATTTTTTGCTATGAATTTTAAAATTTGCATGAGTTCCACCATAAAATGTATGAAATATTAAATTTGTCACTTCGTTTGCAACACCTCGGGAAATTGGTTGGAGATTCTTTATGAAGAGATATAGGAACATTTTTCAAAAGAAAATACCAAAAACATGAATTGATATTATGGACCATACTAATAATGCAATATTTGATGATTTTCCCATGCAAATTCTGAAGTTATTAAAATACGGAACATCAGGGAGTATATTCGTAAGAGGTTTATACCAAAATTGGACCTAATGTAGAGTTCTCTGCATGGTTTAATATTTTGACTAAAACATCCAATCATCCTATTATTTCCATCTGGAAGCTATACTTTTCAATTTTTCGTACTAATTGTACTAAATTTTTAGACTTTCACCGTTTTATATATTATTTAAGTTTTTCCTTTTTCGGAAAGAATAATAGGAGAATGTTAACATTTTACACCGAAAAGTCTTCAAAATCCTTTATTTTAAAGTTTTCCGAGAAGGATATTAGTAAAACCATTGCAGAATGGTCCCATATAAAATTTTTCTGTCCAAAACTATGTCAAATATAATCTCTCCATATGTAAATCCCCTCATTGTCAAATTTCTGAATTTTAGCTCAAATTTAGTGACAATAAGTAACTGTATCCAAAACAATCTGCATCTGTTCATCCCAGACACCAACAGTGATCTAAGATTCTAACCACTTAGTACAAACTTCAGGATTTCAGATCTATCTCGTCACCCAATACCAAAGTTAGTACTATTTATTACTTTTCCTGAAACTATGAAACATATTTCCAAACTCCTTTTCTCAACCACAGAAAATAACAGTGATTCAGAACTTTATCTTTATCCCTTCACCCAATACCAAATTTAGTACTATTTAGTACTTATCGTACAATTAAAGTACACATTTCAAAATTCAGCTATATATCTCAATTCAAGATACCCACAGACACCCCATTATCCAATTTGAGGATTCAAGCCCTATTCCTTAACGCAATACCAGATACCAGAATACCACTTTGTACCTTTTGAACAATTATAAAACGCATATCCAAAATCAGCACCTCCTCTAAACTACGGACACCAGCAATAAAATTTATATTAAATTTAAGGATTCTAGCTCTATCTCTTCATCCAATGCAAAATGTAGTACTATTTGGTACTTTTCGTACAATTACAGTACACATTTCCAAAACCACCACCCATATCAATTCCAGATACTAACAGAGACCTAAATATCAAATGTAAGCATTTCAGGCCTATCCCTTCGCCCAATACTAAATTTAGTGTCATTTTGTACACGTATCCCAATATATCTACATTTCCCATCCGAGAACATTTAGTACTTTTCGAACAATTATAGTACATATTTGCCACCACTATATCTCAACAGCAGATACAAACAGAGAACACAATATCAAATTTCGGTATTCTAGCTCTATACATTCACTAAGTACCAAATTTAGTACCATTCAGTACTAAACCATTCTATATCTTAATACTTCACCCAATATCCAGCTTAGTATTTTTGGACAATAATAGTACACATTTCCAAAACCACCTCCATATATCAATCCCAGATACTAATAGAGACCTCAGGGTCAAATTTCGAGATTCCAAATTTAGTACCACTTAGTACATTTTGAACAATTATAGTACAAATTTCCAAAACCACCTCCATATCATTACCATAGCCACCAACAGTGACATCAAAATCATATTTCAGGATTTCAACTCTATACCTTCACTCAATACCAAATTTAGTACCATTTGGTACATTCCGCATAAATTTAGGACGGATTTTCGAACCACCGCCAAAACTCAAACACAGATACAATCAGAAATCTATACATACAATTTCAGAATTTTATGTCTATTTTTCACCCAACACCAAATATAGTATAATTAAGTTCTTTTTGTGCAATTACAATACATATTTGCGAAAAACAACCTCGATATGTTAAGACTACACAGAAACATCCATCCTAATACCAAATTTCACTTGCAAACACTATTTGTTCACCCAGTACCAAATATGGTACTATTTATTCAATCCTATGCTCCAACAGTAATCACAATTCCTAAGTTTACGATTACAGCCCTATCGGTTCGCTCGAATCCAAATTATACCAAATTAAGTATCATTTAGTACATACCCCAATCCTACACTCCCACAATAATCCCAATTCCCAAATTTCAGGATTTCAACCCTATTGGTTCGCCAGATCCAAATTAAGTACCACGTAGTACACATTAGTACCAATTTCCAAAACTTCCTACGGGCCCTAGTCCTACAGCGCAAAAGTAATCTTATTTCCAAATTTCAGGATTCCAACTCTACCGGTTCTCCAAAAATGGAAATTTAACCAAATTTAGTACCTTTTAGTACACATTGGTGCGAATTTCCAAAGCATTTTACATACTCTAATCCTTCACTCCCACAATAATCCCAATTCCCAAATTTCAGGATTCCAACCCTATCGGTTCACCCAAATCCAAATTGTACCTATTTAAGTACCACGTGGTACGCATTAATACCAATTTCCAAAACTTCCTACAGACCCTAATCCTACAATGCAATAGTAATCTTATTTTCAAATTTCAGGATTCCAACTCTACCGGTTCTCCAAAATTTTAAATTTGACCAAATTTAGTACATATTAGTACGAGTTTCCAAAGCTTCCCACATACCCCAATTCTACACTCCCACAGTAGTCCCAATTCCAATTTTCAGGAATCCAACCCTATCGGTTCTCCCAAATACAAATAGTCTCAAATGTAGTACCATTTAGTACACGGAAGTACGAATTTCCAAAACTTCCAATTTTACAATGCAATAGCAAAACTCGAGCGGTTTTCAAAAATTAAAAATTTTCCAGATTTAGTACCATTTAGTACACATAAGTACGAGATTCCAAAACTTCCTACATACCCCAATCGTACAACTCTACAGTAATCCTAATTCCAAATTTCAGGATTCCAATCCTATCGGTTCGCCTAAATACAAATAGTACCCAATTTAGTAGCCCAATCCGACAATGCAATCGTTATCTCATTTCCAAGTTTCAGGATTTTAACTCTATCTGTTCTCCGAAAACCTAAATCGTGTCAAATTTAGTACCATTCAGTACTTTTCGAGCTCATAAATACCAATTGTCAAAACATACCTCCATATCCCAATCCTACTCTCCGGCTGCAATGAAGATGTCGGATTTCAGGATTCCAGCTCCTTCCGTTACTCCAAATTCGAATTGTACCAAATGTAGTACCTTTTAGTACCTTTCGTACACATGAGTACACACTTTCGAAACTACCTTCCTAACATCGACTCTACTCCTCAACATTGATTCCCAATCCAAATTTAAAATTTTTTGCTCTAACGTAATACTAAAAGGTACCAAATAGAGTACATTTTAGTACTTTATACAGTACACTTATAGTGCGAATTTCCAAAAACCCTTTAGTACATCCATCATATACTCCATCAGTAACCCTCATTCCAACTGTAATACTACTTCTGATTCGTCTAATACAAAGTTTGTCATATTTAGTACCTTTTAGTACTTTTCGTACCGTTGTAGCACGAATTTCCAAAAACCCAGTCTTATCTGACACCTTCGGGCCAAAAGAGACCCTGACCGTAAATTTCAAAATTAAAACTTCTGGGCGTTGATTCTCAATCAATCAGTAATCAGTCAATTTCACTAGTCTTGTGGGGTCTAAAAGGTTTATTTCGAGGAGTTACAAATGGAATAACAATCAATAATATAACCTCCAAAATTTGGTGTAGGTTATTATAAGTTCATCTCGTACGAATTTAAATTCGTTTTAATTTATTTTTTAAATATATTTTATCTTTTCTCAGATACCATTATGAAATTGTCTGTGATCAAAGTGGAGTTGCCACCCGTCTGCACGAAGTTGAGCCGGCCAAAAGAAGTCAAACCCAACTGACAGCCGCCATTGAATTATGTGATGGCATGGAAACAGAGCTCCTGTTATGCTATAATCGTAAGTTCTATCCAGAGGTTATATAGAACCAATGAAATTAATTTTTGCTACTGCCATTTCAGATACTTGCCACTTCCAGAAATTAAATGAACGCGATGAAACCCGCAATGAATTTGACTTCCATTGGAATACATCACCCACGTCGGTGGTATGTGCATTCCCATATATACTCGGCTTTACGGCCGACTCCATGGAGATACGTCTATTAGTCAATGGCAATTTGGTGCATACCGCCATTTTGCCGGAACTACAGATGCTCACGTCCAAACGCGACATTTTCTTTGTTACAACGGCACCCGAATTTATGTCAAAAGATTTGAACATCAAAGGCCTGCAAATACATGAACAAACACCGGAACGCCGGCTGGTTACCACACCCAGTGAGTGCTCCTCCAACGAGGAATTGACAACACGAGATTCAACGGAAATTTTAAGTATGTCAAGTGTCAAAGATGCCATGCCTCTCAATCCCGAACATGAAATGAATAATCTACTGGAAATACCCAATATGTTGTCGGCATCGAACATGGGTCAGCCCATACAGAGGGCACGTTCGTTGCAAAAAGCCAGCCACATTGATGACAAGCCCGTCATAGCCAAGAGTAATTCTTGTGGGGATGCCTATGGCAGTGATCACAAATATAATCCGCTGCGCAACAACTCCATTGTGGATCCGCAACATCAAATCGGGGTGCCACCCAACTCACCACGCACAAATACGAATAACAACAACAGTAATAGCACAAGTAACCACAACAACAATAACAACCTTCCCAAAGCGCCAGCTCAACACTCCCCTATGTCTCCAACCAAACGAAACTCCAAATATCGCAACCTTTTCTCTTCATCGAATGGTGGCAGTCAAACACCCGATCACTATTCCAGTTCTCCGGATCGTTTGAAACCTTTACGGGTGTATCGCATACCTCTGGCCAAGCTGGCGGGAGCCCATTCTCATTTCCACATGCAATCATTTAATGCCACCGCATCAGGAAAACTCCAACAGCAGCAACACCAAACATCCCACTTCCAACAACAAAACTACATTCGTGATCACCATCACGCCCTGTCGCATAAATCGCGACAGAAATCATTCGATATTCAATTGCCGTTACAGACGACGGACATCCCAGAATGACAATTGCATGAAATGCCATCGAAGGACCAAAATTTCACGGAACATGTTATTGGCGGCAGCGGCAGAGAGTGTGACAGCAGCCTGAATCGCTCGCATATACCGCAATCTTTGGAATTTATGGAGAAACGCAAGTCCATAGATCTCTACGACTATGATGACAATAAATTTAATGAGGAAGACGAACGGCGCTTCGAAATGTTAATGTTGCAACGTTAGTTGGCTGTGTGTGTGGGTATGGTTAAAGATGAGAGAGGGAGAGTTTTCAAAGAGAACAAGCAGAATACAAAAATTCTTTGCAATATATGGCAGCAATAGTTAAGCTTATCTCTTGATTTGATATACGGTTTCAAAATTTAACTTCACAAATAATATTAGTAAGCAAAATAAGCAGTTGATTTTGGCCATAAATCTAAAAAAAAAACCTTTTATATATATCTTCTTTTATTACAACTTTGATAAGTTTTTAAAGCTTATTTGAAGAGAAATTTTGTTCCATATTTCCAACTTAGAGTAAATTTTGAAGTGTGTTGATTTTAATGATAATAATATGGTTCTCCTGGCCATAACCCTCCATTTTTATACTCTACACCACAAGGTGGTCAGGGTGTTATGTCTTTGTGCATTTGTTTGTAACAGGCAAAAGGAAACGAGATAGACCCATAGTACCTTTTGATGATCTGCATATAATCACTTTCTGAGTTGATTTATGCATGTCAGTCCGTCTGTCCATGTATTCTTGTGAACAAAATGCAGGTCGCATTTATTATCCGATTGAGATGAAATTTTCCAAACAACATTTGTTTGGCCCAAGGACGAACCCTATTGAAATTGGAGATAATCGGTAAAAATTTAGATATAGCTCCCATATATATCTTCGTCCGATTCGACTTTTTTTGTGCATCAAACGTGCAATATCAGCCCGAATAGTATGGAATTTGCACATACAACCAAATTAAGCCTGAAAATAGGTATGCGAAATTTGATCGAAATCGGTTCAGATTTAGCTATAGCTCCCATATATATTGATTATCCGATTTGTTGTTTTTGTCCTCCGCAGCCGTAATATGCACTCTGTAACAAGAATATTTGGGGAAATATATCTAATGCAGCTCAGAAATACTTTCGCTAAATTTTATCGAGATCGGTTCAGATTTGGATATAGCTCCCATATATAAGTTCGTCCGATTTACCTTTTATTGTGCACAAAATGTCTAATATTTGCCCAAATGGGATGGAATTTGGCACATACGACCGAATTGAGTCTAGAAGGTAGTATGCCAAATTTGGTGAAGATCGGTTCAGATATAGCTATAGCTTCCATATATATTGTTCATCCGATATTGTATTTGTTACCCACATCGGTAATATGCACTCCGTAACAATGATATTCAAGGAAATATATCAAATACAGCTCAGAAGTATCTTTGCTAAATTTTATCGAGATCGGTTCAGTTTTGGATATAGCTCCCAAATATATCTTTATCTGATTTCAAATTAATTTTGCACCAAATGGGGAATACAAGTCCGAATTTAAAAGATACAAATGCTTCGGCATATTTAGTCCTTTGAATTTTAAATTATAATTATAATCATAGGGTGTATGATTGAATTCTCCCATAAAAACTTTTAATTGTTATGTGGAGCTCAACAAAATTACCAAAGTGGTGTAGGGTATCATAAAATCGGCCCCGCCAGACTTTAGGACTTTCTTTACTGGTTGTGAATGACAATGTGTAATGTAGTAATGGTATTCGATTTAAAATATATTAGAACTAAAGTTGCTCAAAAACAAGCAAAGACTACTGGGCGGGGTCGACAATGGGGTACTCTACAACACTATAATTTGCTCTAATGTTTCTGTAGATCTTAAGCACCTTTGATTGAAGTGAAAAACCTCTCATGATACTACGATTAATAATGGGATAACTTAAAATATCATCCTAAATATCAAGTTTGAAATTACCAACAATGTAATAAATTGCTATTTAAAGTCATTGTTGTCATTATTACATTACTCCGTTCGAAGATGACCACAAGATAATGCCAAATTCTGTGACAATTGCCTTATATTATATATAAATGGAGGGTATTATAAACAATTCTAAGACTATTTAGCCCTGTGCGTCCGTTCGTTGTAATCACGCTAGAATCACTGATCAGTCTTTTGTCTGCAGTCAGGTCAAGTTCGAAGATCGGCTATATCGGTCCACGAAAGCATACAGCCCCCGTATAGCGGTATCCTCGAATAGTCAGTATATTGATGATATTAGTCATATGTTTGTCTGAAATTCTACAAAAGGATTTCCCTTTGAGTACTTTACCCCATGGAAGAAAATTCTCTATATAGGTCAACGATATCGTACAGCCCCCATATAACGGTACCCCTGATATTCGGTATTTTGATGATTTTAGCCACATTTCTCAATGGAATGATCTGAAAATCCACACAATGTATACCTTCTGAGCACTTTACACCCTGGAAGAGAATTGTCTATAGAGGTCCACGATAAGGAATATCCTCAATATGACGGTACCTCCCTATATTCGGTATATTACCCACATTTTTCAATGAAAATGTCTGAAAATCCTGTAAGAGATTTGTATATATAGGTCTACGATATCGTATAGCTCCCATACAACGGTATATCCCGATATTCGATATTTTTATGAATTTAGTTCGTAATGGGTTACTTATGCAAGACCACGTTTTCGTATAGCCTTCATATAATGATTTTCCTCCAAGCAGTATTTTTTGGAAAATATTCAAGTTACTTCAAAATGGTGAAGGGTATTCAAAGATCGGCCTGGCCGAACTTACTGATTTTTTACTTGTTACCACTGATTCTCAGTATTACTAACTATTCGCTGTTGAATGGAAAGTGTAGAATATTTCACACAAAAAATTTGATCCATTTCACTTACTATATATTAGGTGAAAAAAGTTTGAAGGTGTGAGTGTGGTGTGATCCTAAAAACAAACAATTTTTGATATTTTAGAAAAGCCTTTTTTAATATCTGTGACCATAAATATCCTGTTAAATAGTCTTACCCTTAGTGTGGATGGCCTAATAAGTTTGTCATTCTTTTTGGACCCACTAAAATACACGATCCTATTATTCCATGTTTTGATCATTTTTGGCTAAATTTTCCAATGGAATTGTGTACAATTTAGAATGTGCCCTTCCCAATGGCCGATATTACTTCTGGAAGAAAATGGTCGGTATAGGTTCATATGAGGATTTTAACAAAATTTTCCAACGATTGGTAAAATGTTTTACATGGGTCCACATTTTCCTATTGGCCCGATATTCGGTATTTGGATGGTTTTAGACACTTTTTTCGATGACATTTTCTCATACTTAGCATTTGCAATGCATGTCCAAGTATAGCCCTCATATAATTTGGTATTTTAATGTGTTGAATTAAATTTTTTATAAACGAAATTTTTGTACAGCAAGTGCTCGATTGTAGATATAACATATGCCTCTCAAATACTTAGTCTCGACACTTATAGACAACATATGTCAATAATTGTATTAAAAGTTCGGCCCGACTGAACTTAAGCCGATACCGACATATCGACTGGGATGTTTAAGTCAGAGCACAGATTTGCTCATTTTTAGTCGGGAGTAAATCTTGCCCGCATTCGAACGAGTTGCATAAGAGTATAAAGGAGCTTCATTACTCTCAGCTATCTTCCTGAGACATATCCCTCTTGTGGAATTTTGAAGTTTTAGCGAGAATGCGAAAAATGTTTTAGCGAAAAATGTTTCTAATATATTTGAATTGAGTTACGTAACAATTCATTTTAGACAGTATGTTTAAAAAAAAAGACATTTTCTATATAAAATTTCACAATAAATCTCGGAATAAAGCAATATCTGGTCACAACAATTTTTAAAAAAATTCCACTCGAAATTTGTACATTACAGGTCAAAATTAGTAGTTTACGTTTTTAAATGTTAACACGTTTACATTCCAAGCCAAAATCTTAGCCTTAAAAACTTTTCGCCTAAGAACCCGAATCTCCTTTTATCCACATGCCGAGTACTTTCCTTGAAACTTTCCCAAAAAATGAAGTATTAATGAAATACTTCATTAAAGCCTTGAGCACATACAAAGGGACCCCAATAATTGGAGGTATTTTTTACAAAATTTATTTTGGTCCACTTATTAGCATAGCCATCTTCACAGCTGGGCTTGTGTTGATAGAAGCATTGAAATGTGCCGAGTTTGAAAGTAATTCTATTCTCATTTCGCGTTTTACGAGTTTCATGGTTATTCAAAATTTCGGCCATTGTAGGGAGGTAGCAGAAAGACCGAACGGATATATCCCTTTTTCGCACCAGATCTTGTATTGGTAACATATTTGGATGTATGAAAGACAATCGGACTCTTATTTCATAATTTATAAGAGATTGTTCCAAATTTGGACTATTTGTGGAGGAGGTACTTGAAATAAATTTGGGAGGTACCAAAAGGAGTGGATCGATATAGCCCATCTCCGAATACGATCTAAGTTTAATAATAATATTGCACGTTTAGATCAAATAAGCTGCTTCTGTCGAGAGTTGTCGTGCGTACCAGGCAGACAGACGGACATCCATAGATCGACATCCTGAAACGGATTTGATCCGATGAGACCTAGGGCCGTAACCGTTATTTCGATGAGGCACATTTTGACCGTATCAAATAATATATAACCTCTGTAGCCATATAGAGTATAAACATTGAAAAATATGGGAACATGTCCTCTAGAATTTAGATTACTTTGCGTTGTATACTTTTAAAGTACGAAAAGCGTATCTTCTATTTTTAGCTCTAGTCTACTGAAATTTTCCTGTAGATATATATGTGTTATCTGTTTTGGGTAAGTTTACAGAAGCAATCTGCTTTCTTTTATCCTTTTTCTTATAAATATGTGTAGAGATTTACCCATATTATTTAATATATTTCAAATAAAGACGATATATGGCCAAAATTAATATTTCCAAACACCAAAAAAAAAGTCAGTAAAATAACATATATGTTGAACATATTTACAATGACGCCAATATTTGAACCCGAAAACCTTAAACAATAAGATTTTAATTTGCTTAAGGAAAAACCCATAGTTTTGGAAAACCACTAAATGCTAAGGTAACTCGTAACAGCAATGAAAAGTGCAAACAAAACCAAACAAAAACAAAAATTGAAACTGTGTTAACTACCGAATATTTGCAAAACAAAAAGTACAATATTGTGATGAAGATGATAGTGTTATTGTTGTTGGCAATGAAAAGATAAATATTTTATGAATTGTTATTGCAAGAGAACAAAACTAAATGCAAAACTATATACCACATATGTTTACAAACACACACAAAAAAACAAAAACACACAGATAAAATAAACAAGCACACACAGGAAAATGCTTTATAAAATAGAAGAAAAAAAGAAACTCCAACAAATACAAGGTTTATTATTTCTAACCGCAAAGGATGAAATAGTATTATAAAATAAATAAATAAATAAATGTATCTAACTTTAAAGAGAAAATAACGCAGCATTGCATATATTTACAACACAAATAAATACATACATACATATATATACATTTCTAATAAACTATTAGTAAAAGTCAAGAAAAGAAACTATACCTAAACAAAATATATGAAGCCAATGTTATAAATATTAAATGTAAAAGTAAGTCATACATACAAACAAACATACATGCATACATGTCTGTCTGTGTCACTTGTCACTCAATAAATAAATCCTTTATACATATTTATCTACTTGTTTACCTTAATTGCAAAGATATAACTATAATTTATATCAACTTAAGCATATATGTACTCGTACTATGTATTCGTATGTATTCATATGCGCATATTCATTAGTTGAATAAAACAAAAAAGAAACTGAAAAAAATTAAATTTTAGTGAAAACATAAAGAAAATGCCTCTCCATTACTTTCTAACTTAAACTATTTGCTGATACTCAATAAGTTTACATACGTACGTACTACTACTTTATAACTTAAGATTTTTTGGACAATGGAATATATTTAAATTATTATTATTATTACATGGAATTTGAAAAACTAAACTGAAAAAAATAAGAAAACAATAGCAAAGAAAAAAAACCAAAACAAAACAAATTTTGTAGTAGTTTTATGTAACATTCTCATTACATATTTAAGATTTAAATAAAAATGATTTACTCTACTCAAAAGCCAAAATAACGTCGTTGTTCCTTTCTAATTCATCATACTGGGAGTAAAACTAAAAATTATCAGTGGACGCAGCAGAAAGCATCGCGATATAGAGGAGATTTTAATTTTGATAGTCGGAACAACCTAATTGACCAAAATGTATAACAATCGCTGAAACTGAGTTTCACAATCCGAATATCGCGAACTTTTTAGGTATTCCAATAATATTTATGTAGTTTGCAGGCATGAAGTGTTTTACTTAAAATCTCATAATATGGATCATTTAAAATAATTCATTTGGGATGTGCTTAAGGTTGCTTTACATTAGAAGCAACAAAGCTCGGATTGGCCGAACTTCGTCATTTGGAAGAAACTTACGAAATGTAAAAAAAAAAAACAAGTAAAAAGATCTGTAAGTTCGACAAGGGTCGAAATTTGAATAACCCCACCATTTTTAACGAATTAGGCAATTTTCAAAAAAACAAAAAAAAATCCGGTTAAAATCCTGTTAGAATCATAAAAATACCGAATTTAGACGTTATATTAGGGTCTATACGACGGCGTTGACCAACTTTTGTCATAAGCCATTACAATATTCAAGGTACCATGACCTGCACAGACAATTTTCTGTCATAGGCTGTAGTATCCATTACGAACTTCAAATACCAAAATTGAAAAAATTCCGGTGAATAATGTCGCTAAAATCATCAAAATACCGAATATCGGAAGGTACCGTTATATGGGGGCTATACGATGACGTGGACCGGCACGGACAATTTTCTGTCTTAGACTGTAATATCCAGTACGAACTTCAAATACCAAATTTGAAACAATTCCGATGAATATTGTCGCAAAAATGATTATATTATATGGAGGTCGTATAACCTTCCGTGACGTGGACCGGCACGGAAAATTTTCTGTCATAGGCTGTAGTATCCATTGCGAACTACAAATACCAAATTTGAAGCAATTCCGGTGAACAATGTCGATAAAATCAACAAAGTATCGAATATCGGGAGGTACACTTATATGGAGACTATATGAAGACGTAAACCTGCACAGACAATTTTCTGTCATAGTCTGTAGCATCCATTGCGAACTTCAAATACCAAATTTGAAACGATTCCGGTGAATAATGTCGCTAAAATCATTAAAATACCGAATATCGGGAGGTACACTTATATGGAGACTATATGAAGACGTAAACCTGCACAGACAATTTTCTGTCATAGGCTGTAGCATCCATTGCGAACTTCAAATACCAAATTTGAAACGATTCCGGTGAATAATGTCGCTAAAATCATTAAAATACCGAATATCGGGAGGTACCGTTATATGGAGGCTATAAGAAGACGTAAACCTGCACAGACAATTTTCTGTGATAGGCTGTAGTATCTATTACGAACTTTAAATACAAAATTTGAAACAATTCCGATGAATATTGTCGCAAAAATCATCAAAATACTGAATATCGGGAGGTGCCGTTATGTGGGGGCTACATGGCCTATTTTCAATACCAAAAGCCCTGCAGACATTTGAGTAAAATTTTATCAATCTACTTCATTTCGTTCAGTAGCTAAAGTGATTTCCCAGACGGACGGACATTGGTAAATCCACATAGAATTTCATGCTGATTAAGCATATACAGGGTGAGATGAAAAAACTGTAACCAACTTCAGACTGCTGTCATTTCTAAGCCACTCGACAGCTATTAATATTATTCCAGTGACAGCTCATTATATTGCTTACAAGTGTACAAAAGCATTTTTGTAAGAATTTTTCAGAAAAAAAGTTATTCGTGATGGAATTGCAAACCACAAGTGGCTATCGTTAGAGCACTCTAACATTTAAATGTGAATATATCTTTTGTGATTCGAATCATCGCTCGATACCGTGATACTGGTAGCGTAGCCCGACATCAGGGAAGTGGACGGAAGAAATGGTTAGGAAGCGACTTGATCGAAACCCGCTAAACATGTCGCAATATTCCATTCTGCAAATATTGAAAAATGAGCTCGGGGTAAAGCCATTGAAATTCCATAAAGTGCAAGAACTTACACCGCAACTGAAAAAAATAGACTCACAAGAGCTAAAGAGTTGCTTCGCTTGGCCGAAAGTGGTGAGCTGTCGTATTTGGTTTTCTCCGATGAGAAAACATTCCTTGTCCAGAAGTTAGTAAACAAACAAATGATCGTGTTTACTTGCCACAAAGGTCAGTTGAAAATGTGCACCTTCGGTTGGTTGGCCACCAGAACTCAAGCGCCGGCCATGGTGATGGTGTGGGCCGCCATAACAGCCGATGGTCCGCTCGTATCAATCGACCGAGGCATCAGAATAAATGTCGAATATTATCGCGAAAATATTCTGCAGGGTGTATTAAAGCCTTGGGCACGCAAACCTTTTGGCCGCAGACCTTGGACATTCTAATAGGACTGAGTACCATCGCACTCAGCACGCGCCACCTAAGAATGGTTACAAAATTAGGTTACTCGCTTCATTTCCAGCGCACAATGGCCACCAAAATCTCCGGATACCAATCCGTTGGACTATTGTGTCTGGAGTATTTTGGGAAGCAAGGTTGGCACTAAAAAATACCAAAGTGTCGATCACCTCAAGCAAACGATTCGCCGGGAATGGGCCGAAATGCGGCAGAGCAACATTCGGGTTTAATCTGCCGTTTGAAGACCATATTTCGTGCCAAAGCTGACCAATTCGAATAAATCTAAACTTATTCTAAAATTGATGATAATTCCAACATTTTTTGCTTTTATTCAATCAAATTAAAAAAAAAATTAAAAATTATGGAGTTTGACTTTGTTGATTTTTTTTATCTCACCCTGTATATCATTTGATACGGTCAAAACGTGCTCATTGAAATAATGTTTTTAGACCCTTGGTCTCTTTGGACCAATTCAGTTTCAGATCTATCTGGCTGGCTGGTACGCAAGCGAGTATCCGATTTGGTCCAAACTTGGTGGTAATATTATGTGTGTCCTTTACGTCGGTATTAAATCTTCAGTGCAAAGTTATGGAGCTAAAAAAAGAAAAAACAACAAAGGGACTAGAAGAGAATTATTCTTCATTTGCAATTGCCCTTCAGGCCACAACTGCAACTCGAAATTTTGCATGGAGTAAGAGTTGAGCTGACGCCTACCATATCGGATAGTATTAAACAGTTACTTTTGTGCGGGAAATACCAATATATCCATTCAAATTTTCAAATATTGTTAAAAAGAGAGCAATTGCTTCAAAATTTGCCTAATTTCGTGGTTTGGATCAAAAACCAGGATAACATATTTTCATGAATCGATGACATTATTTCAAAAATGCAATGGTGGAGAACATATCGCTGATTTCACCTCAACAATTTGATTTCGTATATATCCAATCTTTATCTGAAGAAACTTTTGGTACAGTATAAAATGGTCTCAATAGGACAATAGTTAGAAAGTAAGAAATGTGTATATAAACATATACTGTATATACTATATATGCGATCAATTAAAACTCTTTTGATAAAATACCAAAATCATTAAAAATGTGCGTAGCTATTATTAATAGAACGTATAATCAATTTAGTATATTTGCATTTCTAGTGAAGCAGTTGTCTAGTACTAAACTTTCCATCTCTGGTCTGTGTATTAGGTAATCTGAGGCATATACTTCATACCGTGGCGTCACCTATCTTTCGAATGTAAACCATTGACTTAAGAGGTTGGTGTCTGTGCATTACGTATGGTCAATGTCTTTGCTATATGCTTTATGATATTGCCACATTGTTTGAAAAAGAAACTTGACAAAATATTCGGTTGCTTATCAGTTTCGGTCGGTTATTTTTAGCAATGGATAATACACGATTATTGAACGTGTAAGTAATACGGCCAGACCGAGTCTCATCGAAATAACGAGTTTATACCATATGTATCTTTTGACGAAGTCTGTTCCTGGTTATTTGGAGTCGTCTAATGGTGTCCGTCCGCCTGGCTGGCTGAAGCGTACGATAACTCTCAAAGATAGTATTGTATTTCGTCGAAACTATGTATATCCTAATATTATTATCAATGTTAGATCGGGCTTGAGATGGGCAATATCGGCTCACTTCTTCCAGTAGCTTCCCAACAAAAGGTCGAAATTTGCAAAGATATATGAAACAAGTAAAAAAAAAAAGATTAAGTTTGACCGGGCCAAACTTTTAATACCCTCCACCTTAGTGAAAAGGAAACATTAGATCCCATTATGACCCACATATACCAATTTTTAAACATATTCATAGGAAATTGTGTCAAAAATCATCAAAATACCGAATATCGGGAGGTACCGTTATATGGGGATTATACCAAAATGTGAACCCATATATCTCATTTTCAATACCAACCATCCTAGACACAATACAAATTGCAAAATAATTGAGAAAAAATTGTTATGTTATTTTGTTGTCGTTTAGCCCTAATATAACGGTAAATATTCGGTATTTTGATGATTCTTGGGACATTTTCACCTTTTTTATTTGTATTTACAACCTATAACACAAAATGCGTATGCAGGTCCACGTTTTCGTATAGCCCCCATATAAAAATACCTCCTTATATGTGGTATTTTGAATTGTCTCGAATTTCGAGACTAAAGTTCGCAATGGGTACTTCAGCCTATGACAAAAAATTACTTATAAAGGAACACGTCTTCGTATAGCCTCCATCTAAGGGGAACCATTTGAGAAGTATTTTTTTACGAAATTATTTTGATATTTTTCAAGTTCCTCGAAATGGTGGAGGGTATGGACATTTCGGTTCGACCGAACATAGCTGTTTTTGAACTTTTTATTTTGTGTGCTTCATTTTTATGAAACCCATTTGCATCAAAACGCTTTGATATTTTGAAGTTGCCGATTTCAACCACTCTATATATTTACACTTACATCCCATTTATCATATTTATTAAAACCATATCTATTTTGATTGCCATTTTCTTTCATACGAAAGAATCAAAATAATAATTTATTTTATACATTTCACAACAAAAAGTAATATTAAAAAAATAAAGAAAAAATAATTGAACTAAAAAAAAATGTAAAAAAATAGTAACAATAAAACTTAATTAATAAATAAGTACTAATATTGAGGACAGGCAGTATAGCAACAAAATAAGTTAAGATCCATAATAATGACTAGTAAGGCAACGATTTGTTCATTTTTCTTAGTTAAGCTTAAAAAATAAAACAAATATTTGTCAAGTACAGATCCTGCGTTTTTTCCTTTCTCATTATTTGAAAATAATTTAACATAACATTAAAAATGTATGCACAGTAAGTATATATATGCATACATTATACAAAACAAAATAAATCAAATGTTTGCTAATCAGATGACAATCACAGTTCATAGTAAAATAAAACAAATCAGTTGGTTTAAAATAATAATAATTATAGAGAGAATCTCATATGATGAGGTTTTATGTGCTGAGACATTGTAAGTACAAAAAGTGTTAGTAAGTTATCTTTGGATATATTATTTGTTTCGTTTTTTTTTTTTTTTTTTTGATTTTCTTCTTTTCTTGCTTATAATTAATAAATTAAATTTACAAAACACATATACAATACTTTATAGTACAATAATACGAAGAAATTGTATGTCATACCATCTGTCAGTGAAAATTTATATCAAAAATTCTTTTATTGCTGAGAACAAATTTAAAACTCATATTTTTGAAAAAAAAAATGCAAGGAAATTTTATTTTCTTAGTTTTGATATACGTTTTGAGATTCTTCTCATTTTAAGAATCCAAATAGATCGAACAATTGATATGTAAATATATTTTATAAATTATTTGCGACCTTGTAACTACGTAATGCAAAATTAGAACCAAATTTCATTCAATGTTGAGAGGTACTCTTTTTCTCTGCTTTTTTTTTATTAAGTTTTAAAGAAAATGTAAACTATATCATGGCACAATGAAATAAAGGTAACCTTATTTCAAATGAGCCTTCCCAGCTGTGCATTTTCTGTAATTTACCTTCTCAAATTTCACTGCTCAAAAAATAGTACCCATCGCCGATTTTGTGAAATAATTTTGAAAAAAAATTTAAACATATGATTGCAAGATTTTACCTTCTAAGTTCTACCATGAACTAAGTATAGGATTTATTTATACTGTATATTGAATAGGGTTTCCAAAAAGTTTGCGTATGATGTGATTTTTGTCAGTGCTATCTGATGCACTTTTGCAATCTTTGCACCACGAATAGTTTTCCCACTACATTGAAAAGTCAGTCATAATGAATGTGATCCGCAAAGATGTCATTTTGCCATATGGAGTTAATATTGTGCAGTGGTATACCTATTTAGTTCTAGGTTTCTTGTTCATATTTAAGGTCAGCCAAGATGTGCTTCATTGCATTTAATAAATATCAATTTTTCTAGTTGGACATTAAGATCTCTTGGTCATTAAACCAATCTAATATTTGTCATGGAAAAAATCTAATAAATTTTCTATGTGTTGAACATTTAAGATCCATACAATTTCTTCTGAACATTTTCATGTGTTTTAAGGCAAGTAATTTGTTTTCCCATCACAAATGGGAATTGAATACATTTTCTTAAGTCTAAGTAAACTTAAACAACTAAAATTGATCAGGTGTCATTTTATACATATTTTTTTGTGATATATAATGAAGAATTTCTGTGATGAAGGTATTGTGTGTAAAAATGTAACGAGTATATTATGAGTTTTTTCGTAATTCATAAGTGTGTGTGTATCTAAGTAATAATGCCTCCTTAACATTGAGATATTTTTTTTTGTTTCAATAAATGTCATTGTCACTGACAATATCTAATATACATATGTAGGTATATACACAGCGTATTTTGTTGTTACATTTTTTTACCAGTCTTCATCTTCATTATATTCCGATATTTCCAAACGGAATGGCGTTTCAATGTTTTTCAGCCGGCGATGGCATGTGCGGCCCAAGGGATTGTGACGCAGATCGACCACTTCCAAATTATCGCTGGTGATAATTTCATCGGTATCGATTTCTAGAAAGGGTTATTATTTTAATTATGATTTGCATGATTTATATCTTCATTGTTCCACTTACCAATTATGGCATTATGACTGGCATCTAATTCTCGTAGTTTGGGAATTTTAAATACCACCGGTGGTAACACAATAAATGAATTATGTGAAATGTTTAATTTGGCCAAATTATTCAAATCTGCCAATTCATCTGGTAATTTGCTCAAATGGTTGTGTGATAAATTTAATTCTGAAATAATAAACAAAAAATGATGATGATTTTTGTGTTTGTCATTAAATTTCAAGCGTTGCACACACACCTGTTATAAGTGTGAACTTCAAAGCGAATTTTGGTGAAATCTTCTTAATCACATTGCCACTGAGATCACATGTCTTTAATTCTGTGTTGCGCATTAAATGATAGACAGCATCAGGTATTTGCATCAATTCACACTCGGATAAATCTGCAATGAAGGAAAAGAGATATAAAATAGATTACATTTTGCTGTAAGACATACATAATTCAATTGTAAAATTTAAGTTCTTTAAAAATGTGGAGAATTTTTTTTTTATGGCAATGACATTGGAGAAACAAATTCTGAAATTTTTATGTTTCCTTATAATACCATTTTCCTTTTCGAGATACGGTAGCTCTAAGCGAAACTAAAGATTTTTTTTGTTTTGGCATACTTTTGACAAGTTTTTTTTTCGCAAAGGCAAGGTTCAATTTTTTGCCATTTTTCCCACAAAGTTTTCTTAAAATCTTCTTTTCAAGATATGGTATGCTGTCGGATTTTTCCATCGAGATAGCTCCATAAATTCTCTATGGGGTTTATGTCTGGACTCTGGGCTTGTATATCCATGACGTTGGGACAATTATATAGCAACCATGAACGCACTTTATAAGCCTTGTGTTTTGGATCATTGTCTCGATAAAATAAAAATTCTTCGCCTTAAAGAGTGGCAAGCTTTCTTTAAAAAGGTTGGGGTACATAGTCTGATCCATAATACCCTCAATTAAATGCAATACACAAGGGCCAGAGGCTGAAAATGAGGCCCACGCCATTGCTGACCCACCACCGTGCTTCTCTGTAGGCTTCATATTTTTGACAAAAAGCGCTTCATTTACCTTTCTCCATACATAAGGTCTGCCATCCGAATCAAAAAGGTTGAATTTGCCCTCGTCCGTGAACGGCATATTATTTTAAAATGAAAAATCTTTTGATATGTGCTCCCTGGCAAATCGCAATCTCACTTCCTTATTTCGCTTGCTGATTAGAGGTTCATGTCCAGTTCTTCTTCTATTGTAATTCGACTTATGTAGTATATTTCTAATTTTTTGAGGGCAACATACTTTTCTCAAATCTTTTTCAGCAATTTTTGCGAGCTTTGTTGCACTCAAAAATGGATCGTTCTTGATCTGTCGTAAAATATACTTCTAATCACTCAAGGTAAATATTTTATTATTTGCATTTTTGACTTATTTTTATTTATTTTATGACATTCGTCTTAATAACGTAAAACTCCAATCGATTTTTGCTCGTCTCTGAAATAAAATAACAAACAACAACAAATGGTATAACTTGGCAACCCTGCAATTTGCTTTTTAGGCTTCTCTCTTTTTCTGCCCCTCTCTTAACAAAAGAATTTTAGCAAACATATAAAAATATGTATGTTGATATATATGACCAAAATAAAAATAGACAACATTATGGTCATAAATAGGGCTATGATAAATTTATTTTTAAACGGAAAAGATTTTCCATAATATTTAATTATATGTTTTAATTGATAACTGGTATGTACTTTACCTAGATTTTGAGTTTCGTTAGCGGCGTCACAGCGTTCAACAACTTTAACAACCTGATGAGCCATTTTTATGTATTTCTTTAAGACACCTAAAAGATATTTGTGCGACCACAATATTAAAACAACAAATTCAATTGGTTTTTATTTGTGGTTCTTTCTTTGGGTTCACCTTAACCGAATTCTGACAGACAACCAAGCATGCGATCGCTTTCCCACTCAGCGAAAAACTAAAAGTGAGGGGAAGTGGTAAATTGTATTGTTCCTCATGGTGTTGTGAGTGAGAGAGGGAGAGTGTAGATACTCTCGAAACAAAATAACTAATTTCATAATGAGAGAGCAAATATAGTAGTGGTTAATTTTATAGCAAAACTTTTGAAAAAAATTGAAGAAAACATTATGAGAAAAAGTTGAAAACATCTAAAACGTAAGGTGTTACCAAAATAATTGGGCACTATTTTCCCATGTGTGAATATTCTCAACGACTAATCGAAGTAATTTTGAATAAATTTTTATATAACCCTAGTAACTCACAGCTACACTTGGTGGTATGTACATTTGTGTTTATGGATTAAGAGTTTATTTCAAAACTGGAAATTCAAAAATCTACGCCTTTATTTTGCTCTCTAAATCATCACAGTAAAATCCTCTTTAAACTAAATAATTTTTTTCTTGTTTTTTTTTTTTTTGTGAACCCAAAATCCAGTTCTCTTAAAATTACAGTTTTTTTTTTTGTTATTTTTGTCTTTCATTAGCCAACCTTCAAACCAATCTAATTTGTATTGAGTATTGTGGGCCATTCTTTGCAACACTTTTCCAATGTTTATTTTCCTGAAAACTGCCTTATTTTCACTCCTTTCTAGAATCTTCTGTTTATAAAAGTTTATTAATTTTTTTGTTAATCAATTCTTTTGTCTATTCCACTCGTATTCTTTTCTCTTTCACGAGTTGAGACTAACTGCATGCAATTTTATTAATAATGATTTGCTTTGTAAAAAAGTGAACCGGCCAATATAATTGAGGGCATTTTCTCTGTTTTATTTTTCGTAAAATTAATGTGTGTGTGAAACTAAGAGAATTTAAAGAGAAATACTCTCATATTTAATACACTGGGAAAAATAATGGAATGTTGGGTGTTAAACACAAAAATGGGGATTTGTTTGTTAAAATTGCATTTGATTGAAAGTATTTTTCAGCGTTAGTTATAACTTCTTATTTATCAGCATTATTTATCAAAAAAATACTTGCAGGAATCTGCCAGTTTTGATTTTTTTTTTTTTCATATCATAAAAGAACAAGCATGGTAGAGGAATCAATGTTTAGGAAAATTGATATCTAAAAGTTGTTTAAGTCTTTGTCAAAAATAAGTAGATATGTATGTTTTCCCATGCGATGACAATCGGATGTTGTTATGATATGCATTTTTGACAATTTTTACAAATTTCAATAATTTTTCATTAAATTCCATTGCCATTCCGTACTAAATATAAAACAATTCTGGTGAAAATGTGGCTAAAGTCGCTAAAATACCGAACATAGGACGGCTGCTATAAAATACCGCATGTGTAAAATTCAGTGATAATCTGAGCTGTCGCATACAATAATGTGTAAGATAATAAAGGTCATGACACATGCACTCAGATACTGATGCGTTCACTAGGTAACCAATATATGCAACGTTCTCTACGAAATCTATGAATAATTATGTGGCTGCGATTAGGTTAAGTTAAGGTGAGTGTACATAAGCAGCTTGACATCATGGCTAGGCATATTAATTTTAAAATTATAATGGGAAACGACGGCAGGATTCCACCTCGGAATTGGCATCCCTTTGTGATATGTAACAAAATATGCCATATGAAGGCTTCAAGCTGCTTATGTACCCACACCTTTCGACTAGTTTTTGAAGTATTTAAGGAACATATTTTAAAATAAAAACAAGTAAAAAATAAGTTAGTCTTTAAAAACACATAAAATGGGTGAGGCCATATTTAAACTATATAAGCAATTTTTTACTTTAAGGATTGTCGTCTACCAAATCTTCTTAAATACCAAATTTGAAACAATTTCGTTGGTACATGTAACTAGGATTATCAAAATACCGAATATCGGTAGTATCGTTATATGTGCGCTATAGGAAAAAGTGGCCCTAAACATTAAAGTTCAGCCACCGTAACTACAATGACCAATTTTTAGACAAATCCATGACAAAATGTGACAAAAAACATCAAGATACGAAAACGTGGACCTATACATACTATGTTCCGCCACAGGAGCTAATATCCATTACGAACTACAAATACCAATTTTAGACAAATACGAGGAAAACTGTAGCAAAAATTATCAAAATACCGAATATATTGTGGCTATATCTCATTTTCAATACCAATCGTCCTAGACACAATACAAATCGTTCTGCCAAATTTTAAAGCTCTGCGCCTAAAAATGTGGGCTGTATCGTGATTTCAACAGACATCGTTAGATCGACTTAGAATTTTATCCTTTACGAATATTTAGGGATATTACAAACGGAATGACAAAGTTAATATACCCTCCTTTTCAGGGTGTTATTACTAGAAACAAATCTTCAAAATAAAGCACAAGGTTCTCTTTTCCTTACTCGCTTTTTTATATGGAAGCCTATATAAACACGTAAAATTACTATATGGTCCAATATACCAAAAAAAAAAAACATTAATCCTGCGAATCTAAATTAAAAAATTTTGAGTTAAATTTTCTCAATCTTCGTTATTTTGTTGGGAAGCTAGAGTGATTTCCATAGACGTGCATGGCTAAATCGTTAAAATTTTAAGCTGATCATGTAGATTAGATTAATGTAGAGCTTTAAAAATGTATATAGAGTTTCGGATTACTTCAAAAATCATTGCTTTAAAAAATGGACCACGTTGGCCAACTTTTTGGTATAGTCCCTATATAAGGGCAACCCCCAATTGAAAGTATTTGTTTTAGATTTTAGTCATATTTTGCTCTGCTTCAGAACCTGTATAAAGTTTCACATTCTTGAAGTTCTGGAACACAACATTTTTTGTTTAGTTTCCCCGTTTTTTTTTACAGCTTTATGATTTTGTTTGGGATTTGGCCATATATTCCAATCATAGCAAAAATATGTATTTTCGTCCTTCACCCAAAATGTCAACTCCGATTTTTTTCTTTAAGTGCACAAAGCTCTCCAATTCTTTCATTTCTCATTCATTTGGTCTCTTCAATTAATTGTTTTCTCAAAAAAATTAGCTTTCACACCCAAAAAATTCTGTTAGTCATTTAAAAAAAGCTCTATTCATACATTTCACATCATTTTTCATATGAATCATTTTGAAAATGGGTTGATGCACACAATTCAGGTCATTACACTTGTACAAGTACCCAGATATTGTTTTGTTTGGAATGCTGCCAAAAGTGTTTCTTTCTTTCTTTGAAAACAAGAACGCAAAATGCATCAAGGCAATGGGAAAATTAACGCTTGAACCCAAAGTGCAAAGATCAACTTCGTAGTTAACAAAAAGGAAAATGAAACATGACGGAGTCAAAATAACCGAAAGTAGGAAGTACAATATGTGTCTGTTTTGGCTGCACACATACCTATGTGCATAAGTATGTACTTCTCGTACATGGCTTAAAAGTGCAAACATTAATTAAT